TTCTTTAACCATGTATTTATCAAAAATGCAATGCGTTTGAAACCGGTGATGTTAAAGACAGCTGTTGTGGCAATAAAACATCAAGTTTAAAGAAAAAAAGGGAGTCCAACAAACCAGTATTTCCTTTTCCCAGTATGATCCCTATTGGTCCTAGGGAGTGTGGAGGAGCAGTACTTTCCCTATTGTAGATCCCAGCTATGTGTATGGGTTGCTAATTCTGCCCGCTTGCTTGAAGCTGTGGCCAGTTCATGTCATCCATTTAGGCATCCATGTGATTGTTACTCATATTATTGTGACACCTTTGTCGTTTAGTGTATTCATGGTTTACATGCCAAGAAAAGGAATGTGTTGGATTGGAGATCTCCATGTGTAGACAGAATATGGTGACCTCAAAACCGTCTGAAGCCCATGGATGTAGGAATTAGGATTAGAGATTCTGTCATTACAGTTTACCTGGGTTTCCTGAATTTGAAAGGCTCTAAATTAACTTATAACCCATGTTTATGCTGTCCCTGTCTTCTCTGCACAGTATTAAAACATTTTGATTTGTGCGAAAACTGTATAGTGAACATTATGAGCTTCCATTGTAAATACTGATTGGTGGAAGATTGTATTTTGAGTCTTCGCCCATAAACCACATCCTGTTGTGTTTCCCTCAGGCTTATGCAAATATCCCCAATCAAAACCAGGTATTGAAGTTGGAAACCCACCTCACTGTGTTTATATTCTTCCTCTGTTGACTATTTTGGAGTCTTAGATCCAATTAGAAAAAAGCATATGGTGCTGTGGCTCATTATTTTGGTCTTGTTTTACCAAGAGAGCTGCAAGGATCAACTTTCTCATAATATCTCGCACAAAAATGTGGAGAATGTTTATATTAAGAAGATGGATATCTCTGTTAGAGATTCTGCAGTGCGAATGAGAGTGATCTGCATAAATAGCATTTTTCTCTGTAGCTCATTAGGAGAGTGTACTGTCAAGGAAAACATGACTACTAACGAATGCGAGAAGAAACATGAGACAGGCGGGAGCCACTTAGAGTAATTTCTAAAAAGTCCAGATTCTCAACAGGACTTCAAATAGCTTTTTCTAGGCTGAAGAAGTGTTAGCAGCACTGTCTATGTCACTTATGTTCTGCTCCATTGCATCCTCTTTAAATGCAATGAAGTTACGGAGTTGCTTAGATGGAGGGAGTCTTTTGGTTGGTGTTTAGGCATTATACGTGAATAGGTTAATGTCTATGAACCTCCCAGTTGGAAGTTTCTAACACTGACTTACAATTTCCATCAGAGATCAAAGTAATTTACTAACATAAATTATTTATACATAGGACTGAAAGAAATTAATAATAACAATAAGGCACCTCCATGAGATAATCACCATACCAGAAGCACTCATCTGTACCTCACGGCCCTGCAGGGGGTTGTAATTATCTCCTGCAAACCACACCTCTAGTGATTGCTTTTCATTCCTTCATTGCAGTGCTGCCACTTGCAGTACTTTGCTTGACAAATATTTTTAAAATAAAAAAAAAAGCTTAGGAATAGAAGACTTGTGGCAGTCATTCAAAGAGAAAATGTTAAAAGTACACAAAATGTTGAATAAATGCAGTTAATCCAGATTTTACTAACAACAAAGAAGTACTAAATGTGATTCTGTAGGCATTTAAAGAGATACCTGTGCTCTTTTGTCAAGTTATTCACTGGAATGAACCCATCGCCTGCTGCCATTTCCCATGGCATGCTCGCAATCTATGGAAAACTGGCTGTTTACATGATGCTGGCTTCTACTCTGTGCTTCCTGCAGCTAAAATTACATTAAAAGAGGCTAAAAATGCATTAAATGTTCTCATAAAATTACTCTTCTGTGTAGACAATTGCGGTATTTGCACAGCATAACATGATTACAGATGGAGAAAGGCTGGCGAGATGTGATGGTCTCCGTGGCAATAACTGTGTTTGTAAAGTACCTCCTCCAGTCTCTGCTGAAGCACTCAGATCAGAAACAGCAATCCTAATGCCATTTTATGCTTTACTAAATCTAGTCTCCACACAAGTACAAAAAAAAACCTGCACCAAGCAAAAAACCTGCACCAAACAAAAACTAAAAAAAAAAAAAAAAAAAAACACAGAAAAACAAACAAACAAAAAAAAACAACCAACCCCACCAAAACCAAACATCCACTCAAAGGAACAATTAGAAGCATGGTATTGATTTAAAAGTACCTTCCAAAATAGATGTTTAGGTGCTCTGTTAATGAGGTACATTTCTGAGGAATACAAAGTTCCCATGCTGATACAACCGAAGCTCCACCTGGTGAATCTAGAGGTGAGGGCAGAACCCTTGAATATCGGGTGATAAGTGGATATAAAGGTCTCTAAGATGCAGGACTAATATGAGCTTTCAAATATACCCTGTTTTAGTCGTCTTCAGACGCCCATGAATCAACCAGGCTAATTTCAAACGAGTCTACCACGTAATAGAACAGCAACCGCAGAGAACACCGGGCGGCTGGGTGAGCTGTGATCATAACACGAATCAATAAGCAATTGATTTCTTCTATTCTGAACAAGCTGCAAGTGATAGATCAACTTCACCATTAGCCTAGCCAGTATGGACTTCCAAAACCGAATGTCAGGGGAACAGGACTGTGTTTTGCTGTCACTGTGCCATTGCAGGCTCAGTTATGGCCGAGCGTGAGCTGTGCAGATTGCACAGCTGAAATTCATATTTCCATGATCTGAATCTATGCTGGGATTTGTAACAGTATATGCAGACACGGAAGAATAGTAAGTCCTTCCACAGTAGCGCAGTCCATGCTGTGAAAGACATCTTAGGTTATTCTAGATAGAAAATTTACATTTTTAACTCCTGATCTTAGGATCTGTTCTTTTGAGAAAGGTTATAACATCGTTATAGCCCTCCTGGGTCAGATAGAGGTCTCTAAGATGCTGCTTCCCAACTACCCCCTTTGCAGCCTGAAAATCTTAATCTATTTAGCTGTTCCCTCTGCAGAAGCTGTGTCATACTGCTGCTTTTCAGCACATGTGCATTTTTACCGTGGTTTTGTAAGTGATACGTACATTTAACATTATGAGCTATTTTGTTGTATTCTCTCTGAGCATTTCCTAACTAGGTATAACTATGTGTGTTCTGTATGTTTCCTGTGAAACGCTGCTGAGCTGATGTTTTGCAGGGAACTATCTGTTACAGTCTCTGGGTTTCGTTCCCACTTGTAATAATCAATTCGGAGTCTGTCACTTTATAGGTATCGCATTATTGTTGCAGTTTCTAAGTTTTGTTTTGTTTAAATTAAAAGGAACATTAACTACGTGATGCTGTTCTTTATACATACTGTTCCAGTCCATTGTTGGGAACAACAAAGAATCTGGCATCCCAAGGGAGTCTTCTAAGACAAGCCCACGTGCCTTTTGGTAAGGGAGGAAGAAGTAAACTGTGAAGCATAGCTGAGTATCTGGCATGCATCCTTCAGATGGATATATTGTAGATGATTGTCTAAACCTAAATAAAAAGTGGTTGTGTGTAGGAGGTATTGAAAGAAGAACTGCCACTGATGCTGAAAATTTGGCTTAGTGGATGAAGTTCAGTTTCTCTTAAATTACTTGGAAGCTTGAGCTCCCAGTTGGAAAGGAACATTTTGGTTCCTTTTGCCTGGATGGTAAAGTCCTGAGGACATGGCCTGTCTTTTCTCTAGGAAATACCCACTACATCCATGAGTATGTGAGCCAGTTGCTCTCAGTAGTGTTCCCCCAGCTTTTTAGGTAAGGTTCTGACTTTGCCTCTTCCCCCTTGGTTCTTTGAACCTGGTAGATTACCATGTTCTTTTTGCATTTGTGGTACGGGGAAAAGGTGCATAATTGCTGCAAAATAAAAATTAGCTAGTGTCTTAACAAAAAGCTTGGATACACCACCAAAACCTTTCAACAACCAACCTTCCAATTTATTCTAACAAAACAGTGGAACCAAAGAGATCTATCTTCATAGAAATGTACTTTATACTCTGCTGTGGAAACAGACATATGCAATAAGAGCGACTGTCTTTGAAAGAGGAAAATTGCTGTCGGAAATGCTTTATTGGACTGTTCAGTGTAACCTGATTCTTCTTGTCTCTAAAGCGACCTTGTTACCCCCCTAGAGGTACCGTTGTGCCTGAAAAGGAGGAGGAAAGCAGCTTGGATCATCTTAGTGATCATTTCTAAGAAGTGTTCTCCTCTCTCTCTCCTCTCTAATGTATCTGCAAGTTCAAATCTATTATTCCTTCTTTTAAAACAAAGTTCCTGTAATTCTGAATCTAATTCAACCGTTCCATCTTTGCCGGGACTGTTAGAAGGGTATTATGCAATGAATAGCAAAAGGTTGCATTTGACAGGATCCCAGATGATAGGCTGCAAGGTGGAAGGCAAGACCAAGTCCTTCCAACCATTTCTGATGTGAGGAGGGATGTACTGTGTGCTTTCCTGGTCTATATCTGTCTCTTTCTTTTTTTTCCTGTCAAATAGGAGGCAAGCCTTTTTTTATACTGAATGTTTTGTGCTTTTTATACTTTTTGCTTTTGTGATAATGTGTGGTTGGAAAGACCCATGTTACTGTTTCACAGAAAACAATCTAGTAGTTATGTGTGTGTCTGTGTTCATTTCCACTGAAACGCAACTTGGAAGAAAAACCCACTCATGACTTGGTTTAAAGGGCAGTATTTGTGGGACCCTGAGCAGTATAACTTACTTTGCAGGCAGCACGTACCTTGGCATTTGGCTCCGTACAGAATAGTTGCTGTGGACTCCAGTTGCTGTGACATACTTGTGGTTATCAAAGATTTAAGCTGGGCAACAATATCTCATATTGTTCATTTGAGTGTTTTGTTTAACAATAGGAGTTTGAGATGTAATCCTGTTAATCTTCTGTGAGGCTTTCAAAATTGCATTTTTAAAAGGTACAAAAATTGATTAAAACGTAACACCATGTCTTATTTGCTTTCACAGCAAGAAAAACTGGGTGATATCTGCTTCTCCCTCCGTTACGTGCCTACTGCTGGCAAACTGACTGTTGTCATTCTGGAGGCAAAGAACCTGAAGAAGATGGATGTCGGTGGACTATCAGGTATGTGCATGAAAATCTGCTTGTAGGCTTTGCAGGCTTGTAAAGGCAGAAAATCAACTCACTTTCTATTGGAGATCTCTTGGTTGAGAAGGTAAGGGCTCTTCTTCACTGTCTGAAAAATGCAGTTTGTGTTTTGTGAAAGTTAAGGTATGACTGAGTATATCAGAACTCATTCTAGTTTTTAAAAAAAGGGAATTTTGTTATACACTGCATTCCGGTCCAAGACAAGGTCTGAAGAGTTAAACATTCCGATGACAGTGCAAGCTCTCTGTACTTTCCTTCTCTTCTGTTACCTGGAGATAAATACCGACTATTCAGGCAAGAGAAAAAAATCTGACTACAATTCCTATTGTCTGTTTAATCTCAGAAAATGTAAGCATTTCCCTGCAATGTTACTGATAATACGTAATAGAGGAAATCACCACAGGTCACCGTGCTGACTACTGGTTGAGGTGCTAAGATGATTGTTTCTACATTTGAAGGGCTCGGGTGTGATTGCTCCTGTGTGCAGAGCTGAGAGTGCTCTGCATTTGCATGTACATCAGCAATCAAAATGACAGTCTTGCACTTGTAGTCAGTGAGGTTGATATCTCCGACATGCTCAGTACCTACAAATAGTCCTCGTAGCCTTTCCTCATAGTAAGTCTGTACACACTGTGAGTGAAACGATGGATGCCATCTCTAAGGGAGGGCGCAGTCAGCACACGCGACATCAGGGCTGTGGCTCTGTGGTAGGGCTGTGTCCCAGGGACCTGGTGGAGCTCCATGTAGGCTTCTGTTCTCTGCTGTGTCTGGAGTTTGGACACAAACTACTGTCTAAATTGCCAATTAGCTGAGACCAGATTAAATAACAAGATGCTTTAAAAGGAGAAGTCTTTCTAGGAGAATTTTATTTCATATTCCTTCTGTTTAAAAGAGACAGTTTCTGCTCACCATTGCGAATGAGGATATTTCCAGCACAGCTCTAGATCTGAAAACTTTTACAGCTGTCACTAACATACAGATGATGTAATAGCCAATTTTGAATTAGCAAGTGACAAGACAAAAGTATTGTGCTTTTATTTTCTTATAACCTTAGCACAAGGTAAGAGTTATATCCAAAATACACAGAGAAATGGGAACCTGCTAAAAGCAAGCCTGAAGGTTTTATTTACCACTTTTGATGAACAATAACAGGAGAACCTTCACAAAGTGAGGGGAAACAGTCTCTTACCAGTAACCAGTTACCTTTTTTTATTTTACTTGCTTCTAAAGTCTTCCACTGCACAGCAACAGACATGATAAAGTAAAAGACATCAAAATATTGTTGTAGTTATTATCTCAATCAAGTCTAGCTTTTTCTTGTCCAAAACAGACACTGGATTAGGACACACCACTAATAGTTTCCCTAACGCTCGTGCTGAACCAGTTGCAAGTTAATGTTCTTAAGCACGTTTACTTCCTAATTGTTTCTTAATGAAAGATTAAATACTCATAATGAGGAAGTGTGAGGTTTTTTGACTGAAGCTAGCTCTAAGAGCCAGAGCATCTAATTCTTTTCCAAGTTTTGTGGGAATTGTGATGGATAATGGGTATTCAGCTCATAAGAAAAGAAAGAAAGGGGCAAGGGAAGCACTAATGAACTGAAGACCTTCTACAAACTTCAGATGGAAAATATAATACATGGTGTTGGAAATAACTACGAAGAAATGAATGGGCTTACTCTCCTACTGTGTGCTGAAGCACACAGAGGACATTTAAATATACTTCTACGGGACAACAGGTTTTGTTCTCCTTTTTTAGGGCCATGCTGAACTAGAAACATCTTATTGTCTTGGAGACAAACAAACCCAGTGGGAGACCATGGTTGTAGCAGGAATTCCAAAGTTGCTGACAGTGATAAATGGCAGTTAGTACGGTATTCCTGAGGCAGTACTTATAGATGAAATAATGTTGACTTAAAGCGGATTCAATATCTTTCATTAGGGAATTTATCTTTTGAATAAATTATGCAAAAGTAACATTTTGAAATCAAGCTGAGGTTCTGTTGTCATTATTCACACTAAATAATACCTACTCTCAAAGTATAGTACTGCTAAGTGGTAATGAAGGTTACAGAATTTTATCTCGATTAGCAAACGCTTTCCCCACTAGTTTTGTTATTTTCTATAGAAACTAAAATGGCTTTTTGTTTTGCAAAACTGAAAGTTTTGCGTTGCAGTGAAGGTGGGAAAATGTTAACAGTCAAATGTGATCTCAAACTGAATGTTACCTATATAATCAACAGCACTTACTGTCACCAAGGGAAAACCATTAGCAAGAGATGAAAATTATGTAGTTGACAGAGATGGGGGAAAAAACATCTTAGAAGTTTGGCAAAAAGTTTCTGGGTTTTGAGTTTAGAATATGTCTTTTTGTTATTCTCTCCTGTTTTGGAGGAGATGCTGGAAAAGCAGAAGGCAGACGTTTGGAAAGGGCTCTGCTTTCTCTTGCATCAGCCTTTATGCCTCTCGAGTTTATGTGCCTTGCCGAAAGGAGGAGCAAGGCCCTGGCTTTTGCTGGAGGCTGACGTAGTGCTGCCAAGCATTCGCAGAGCCACGGCGGGCGACCTTGCAGTTTCCTTCTGGCTCCTTCTCGCCACATCTTGAGTATTACTGCTGCTAGTAAATATCTGCTATACCTTTGCACCTCAGTGATGTGGAAAGCTTTAGCATTTATGTTATCTTTAGTGCCAATACAAAGAACCAGTCACTGTGGCTCAGTAGTCTTCTGAACTTCTATTTAGAAATTTATTAAATCCATAATTGTGGTAAATTAGACTTAAATACATGCTTGATTTTTAGTGTGTATATTTATCTTGTGCAGATAGTTACAAAACTACCTGTTGAAAGAAGAGACTGATCAAAGGAGATTGAGAGTACTGCCTTTCCTAGCATTTTTAAAGGGCTTCGACTGGTGAAACCTTAATCTTGCTAGTCAGCATATATATCCTATTTAATGGTTACTACAGTTGCAAAAAAAAAAAAAAAGGAGCCTTTAACTCCAGGGTTTTGAACTTTTCCATAAATTTTATTAGCAGTCAAAAGCCAAGCACAAATTACTTCGGAAACAGACAATAAAAGACAACAGACTAATCGTCAAATTCATTAGACTCCTTGTAACAAAACCAGATCACCCATCTGAGCAATAAACTCCCAGGTCTTAAACTTAATTGCAACATCAGGCTGTGACTAAAGCAAACCTTGGCTCAAACACTGGAACTGTTCAGCCTGAGCTCATCAAGTCACCACAACAAGTGGAAATTATTACTTCTGGTGAGTAAGGGCCTCTGGCAAACAATTTGGCATGTTTTAAAATGGCATTTTAATTATTTAAACTATACTCAAATGCATTTTTAATGGATCTGACATCTGGCAGGTGATATGTAGGAATGTAAGCTATAAAGAGATTATTTTTATTTGTCTGAATTTGGTAAATTCAGGTTACATGGCTTTTATAGGTATCCTTCACCCTATGAGGTCTTACAGTAAGTCAAGGAAACTTAGACTCCCAAGTCACTGTGTTGTGGGGTTTTGGGTTTTTTTAATTTCATTTAGAGGATTTGCAAAACTGGAAGATTTCAAACATCTCTCCAAACAGGCCATACAGTCTAATTCCTCGATAAGGCAAAATGCAGCTCAGCGATGCCGTTTGGTTCACAAGGGTTGTCTATGAATTATGATACTTCATTCAGGTTTACAATACCTTCTACTCCAGAAATAGGGCAGGAATTATCTGCAGCTCCCTGATGAGATACTCATTTAAATCAAAGTGGTAGTGATTTTACATACAGATTTAAATGAGTGTGAAACTTTTATCTAAATTCATTTCAATCTTGTTTTGTAGTTTTTACTTATTTTCTAGAGAAAAAATGTGGGGGTTTTTTTAACCCTCAGCACATCTGACTAGCAGCTAAACATGGTCTGTGCAATAAATATGGTGCTTCTTTTTATTACATAGGAAGATTCCCAATATTAATACACATTTATGCAGGCAGATCTATAGATTTCCATGTATTTAGTCATACCCTCCATTTGTATTCACTTTTGTTCCTAAGATCATAGAATCCTTATGGCTGGAAGAGAC